CCTGGAGTTAAGTTAAGAAGCTTTATTTAAGTAGGCATCAGCAAAGGTGATAGTACTTCCACAATTCTATTAACAATTCATGAATTCTCAGCAAATGTTGAGTTAATTCAATCACCATGGTTAAAACAAATGGTGCTTAGATTCTGCTAGTTTTTCTTCTTCACAAAATTTAATTTGCCTTTTTTTAATGAAACATATTAAGGAGAAAAAAGGGACTTTGGAATTAAACTGGGTGGTTGGCATCCCAAGCTCACCATTAATAGTTTATGGAGATTATGTAACCTCCCTGAGAATCTGTTTTGTTTCCTATTTTCCACAAAGTGGTAAAATACAGTGTAACTCAGAATTACATGAGAGCCAATGTAACACAGTACAGTGCCCAGCATCTGCATTGCCCTTAATAAATGGTAGTAATTATTTAGCAGAAAGCCAACTAGTGACTTCCTAGTGAATGTGCATGCCTCTCGTTCCTCACTCCCTCCTTAGCCCTTTTATTGTTTCTCTCCAAATTACAGCAGGTGCTTCCATGTCATCTCATCTCCCCGCTACCCAGGCCCCTACCACTTCCACACCCATTCCTTCTCCCAGGTATTTGATAACCACATGACCTGGGGCCCAGTATTTCCACATTTTGTCTTGCTCTTCTTGTTGGGTAATATATTTTTAGACTGTCCTGATTCTATCGTTATCAAAATACACTTATCTTTTTTTTTTTTTTTCTTACTCTTTTTTTTTGTTGTTTTTTTTTCTTACTCTGTCGCCAGGCTGGAGTGCAGTGGTGTTATCTTGGCTCACTACAACCTCTGCCTCCTGAGTTCAAGCAATTTTCCTGCCTCAGCCCAGCTAATTTTTGTATTTTTAGTAGAGGTGGGGTTTCGCCATATTGGCCAGGATGGTCTCAATCTCTTGACGTTGTTATCTGCCTGCCTTGTCCTCCCAAAGTGCTGGGATTACAAGTGTGACCCACCGCTCCCTGACAAAATACAATCATATTTTACTTGGGTTCCATTTTTTTAATTTCCATATCCAATTTCATTCTATATCTGATGTATTTTATAGGAAACCCACCAATCTGAAGTGGTAGATGATAGTGACAATGATTTACTGACAGGTAACTGTTGACATCAAAATAAAATACAGAGATAGGCCAGGCATGGTGGCTCATGCCTGTAATCCCAGCACTTTGGGAGGGCAAGGCAGGTGGATCACCTGAGGTCAGGAGTTTGAGACCCCAACGTGGCCAACATTACAAAACCCTATTTCTACTACAAATACAAAAATTAGCTGGGCATGGTGGCAAGTGCCACCATCAATGATACTTGGGAGGCTGAGGAAGGAGAATAGTTTGCGGTGAGCTGAGATCATGCCACTGCACTACAGCCTGAGTGACAGAGCCAGACTCTGTCTCAAATAAATAAATAAATAAATAAATATATATATATATATATATATATATATATAGAGAGAGAGAGAGAGAGAGAGAGAGAGAGAGAGAGATAGAGAGAGAAAGAGATACATCTTTTAAATTAAATGTTTTCTTTGGGAATTACAGAATTGTAATTCAGAGCATCCACACAGATCGAGGTGGTCTTCACTATATCCAAAACACAAAGAGAAGGTTGGGTTTTATTAAAAAGAAAAATTTCACCCAAGCCCAGGAGATCAAAACTGCGGTGAGTAGTCATCATGCCACTACACTGTAGCCTGGGCAACAGAGAGACCCTGAAAAAAGGAAGAAAAAGAGAGAGAGAGGGAGAGAGAGAGGGAGGGAGGGAAAGAAAAAGAAAAAGAAAGAAGGAAAGAAAAGAAAAGTGAAAAGAAAAAGTCACTACTTAAAGTAAAATAAAAATAAAACTTTAGGTACTATATTTTAGATAACATATTTGACTTAAGCACTAACTTTTTCCTTTTAAGTCAAATAATTAGAGCTTATTGATGTATTTTGGTTGAAAATAATCATATATATGTAACATATAGACAGGAACAACATAAAAATATGCAGATGAATAAAAATGAAGACGTGGCTGGGCACTGTGGCTCATTCCTGTAATCCTACCACTTTGGGAGGCCAAGACAGGTGAATCACTTGAGGTCAGGAGTTCAAGACCAGCCTGACTAACATGGTGAAACCTCATCTCTACCAAAAAAACACAAAATTAGCCGGACATTGTGGCACACATCTGTAATCCCAGCTACTTGGGAGGCTGAGGCAGGAGAGTTGCTTGAACCTGGGAGGCGGAGGTTGCAGGAAGCCGAGACTGCACTATTGCACTCCAGCCTGGGCAACAAGAGCAAAACTCTGTCTCAAAAATAAATAAATAAATAAATAAATAAAAATAAAGACTTTATAATATTTATTAAAAATTTAGTCATGATGGCCGGGCGCGGTGGCTCACGCCTGTAATCCCAGCACTTTGGGAGGCTGAGGCAGGTGGATCACGAGGTCAAGAGATCGAGACCATCCTGGTCAACATGGTGAAACCCTGTCTCTACTAAAAATACAAAAAATTAGCTGGGCATGGTGGCGCGTGCCTGTAATCCCAGCTACTCAGGAGGCTGAGGCAGGAGAATTGCCTGAACCCAGGAGGCGGAGGTTGCGGTGAGCCGAGATGGCGCCATTGCTCTCCAGCCTGGGTAACAAGAGCGAAACTCTGTCTCAAAAAAAAAAAAAAAAATTTAGTCATGAGTAAAACATAGTAATATAAATTCACTGGTTTATAAGAAGATTGTTGGATCCTGATATGGTTTGGATCTGTGTCCCTGCCAAATCTCACGTTGAAATGTAATCCCCAATGTTGCAGGTTGGGCCTGGTAGGAAGTGTTTGAGCAGGTCCCTCAAGACTTGGTGCTGTCCTAGCAATAGTGAGTGACTACTCATGAGATCTGGTTGTTGTAAAGTGTGGCACATATCCCAGTCCCCTCTCTCTCTCGCTCCTGCTCTTGCCGGCTACCCTTCACCTTCTGTTATGATTGTAAGCCTTACCAGAAGCAGATGCTTCTACCTGTACAGCCTGCAGAACCATCTACCAATTAAACCTCTTTTCTTATAAATTCATCAGCCTCAGGTATTTATTTATAACAATGCAAGAGCACCCTAATACAGATCGAAATTATATGCTTAACAAAATAAAATAAAACTAAGCATTAAGATTTTTTCCCCCTCTAACAGGTAATCTTATGAAGCCTTTGAACCAAATTTTGGGTAAAGAAGTTTGAGTCAGTTACTAATATACTGGATTGGACAATGCATAGTTAACTATGAAAATGTGACTGAATTATGTGAGGAGGCCCAAAAGATAAGAATCATTGTAACAAGGTCTGTACAGTATTTTCTTGCTCTCAATTCTTCATTTTTGAAGAGTGTTACTTTCCTTTCAGTATAGGGAGGCTGTCTTTTAGATGGGAATTTCATCTTTTGCCTTTAAGAAACAGCATGAATGTCAAAATGATTTTATTTTATACCTACTGGTTTTCAAATGTCTTTACCTAAACAGTAAGTATCCCAGAATAGCTGAGGAGTTTTGGGAAAAGACAGTGTAGCTTAGAGTGGGATAAGGGTGAGAAGGTATAGAAAGGGTTCAGAGAAGAAAGAGTCTCAGCTAGCTTTCAGACAATATTTAGCAGTGATGTAATCTCTGAATCCTAAATGTGTTTTGAAAGCCTTGAGATAAAACTTGAGTTACGGGTCCTATTTGGACTGTATGATGTTATAGCTATGATCTTTTATTTTAGTTTTAAGAAAAACAGACTGAATGATCACCATAATGTTTGAGCATGTCACCACCTGGAGTCCCAGAAGTAGGGAAATATCTTGACATGCCATTGAACTTTGAGAACCCAAGATATGCTTTGGATCTGTGTCCCTGCCGAAATCTCATGTCAAATTGTAATCTTTGTTGTTGGAGGTAGGGCCTGGTGGGAGGTGATTGGATCATGAGGGCAGAGTTCTCATAAATGGTTTAGCACCATACCCACTTGGTATTGTATAGTGAGTGAGTTATCAGGATATGTGGCTGTTTAAAAGTGTGTGGTACCGTTTTCCTCTCTCTTCCTCCTGCTCTGGCAATGTAAGACATACCTGCTTCCCCTTTGCCTTTTGCCATGATTGAAAGTTTCCTGAGGCTGCTATGCTTTCTGTATGGCCTGCAGAACCATGAGCCAAGTAAACCTCTTTTTTTGGTTGTAGGTGGGGCCAAATGCAACAACTTATACTTCACCATAGAAGAAATATTTTTTTGAGGTTTATTTAAATCGATTGGCATTTTTCAAATATCAATAGGTTTTGGGGAACAGGTGGTGTTTGGTTACATGAATAAGTTCTTTAGTGATGATTTCTGAGAGTTTGGTGCACCTGTTACCCAAGCAGTGTACACCCTATCCAATGTGTATTCTTTGATTCTCACCCTCGCTTCTACCCTTTCCTCGTAGTCCCCAAAGTCCATTGTATCATTCTTATGCCTGTGTGTCCTCATACCTTAGCTCCAAGTTATGAGTGAGAACATATGATGTTTAGTTTTCTGTTCCTGAGTTATTTCACTCAGAATAGTGGTCTCCAGTTCCATCTGGGTTGCTGCAAATGCCATAATTTCTTTCCTTTTTATGGCTAAGTAGTATTCTGTGGTATATATGTATCACAATTTCTTTATCCACTCATTGGTTGATGGGCATTTGGGCTGGTTCCATATTTTTGCAATTGTAAATTGTCCTGCTATAAATATGCATATGCAAATATGTTTTTCATATAATGACTTATTTCCTCTGGGAAGATACCCAGTAGTGGGATTGCTGGATCAAATTGTAGATCTACTTTTAGTTTTTGAGAAATCTCTACACTGTTTTCCATAGTGTTTTTACAAGTTGACATTCCCACCAACAGTGTAAAAATCTTCCCTTTTCACCACATCCATGCCAACATCTATCATATTTGATTTTTTCATTATGGCCATTCTTGCAGGAATAAGATAGCATTATGGTTTTGATTTGCATTTCTCTGATAGTGACGTTAAGCATTTTTTCATACATTTCTTGGCCATTTGTGTAACTTCTTTTGAGAATTATCCATTCGTGTCCTTAGCTCACTTCTTGATGGGATTGTTTGGGGTCTTTTCTTGCTGATTTGAGTTCTTTGTAAATTCTGGATATGAGTCTTTTGTCAGATGTATGGATTGTGAAGATTTTCTGCCACTCTGTGGGTTATCTGTTTACTCTGCTGATTATTTCTTTTGCTGTGAAGAAGGTTTTTAGTTTAATTAAGTCCCATCTATTTATATTTCTTTTTGTTGCATTTGCTTTTGGGTTCTTGGTCAGAAAGACTTTGCCTAAGCCACCGTCTAGAAGAGTTTTTCCGAGGTAATTTCCTAGAATTTTTTAGGGCATTTATATTCAACATCAAAATTGAGATATGAGATGCTATTCTATTCATTGTGCTATTTGTTGCCTGAATACCTGTGGGGTTTGTTTGTTTGTTTGTTTAATTGTGATTTCTAAGTTCTATGAGATTTATGCTTCAAGGAGATTCTATTTTGGTGTTTTTTGAAAATTTGTTTCAATATTTAGAGCTCTCTTTAGCAGTTCTTGTCTGGCTGGCTTGGCAGTGGCAAATTCTTTCAGCATTTATTTGAAAAAGACTATATCTTTCCTTCATTATGAAGTCTGGTTTCACTGGATACAAAATTCTTGGCTGATAATAGTTTTGCTTAAGGAGTTAGGACCCCAATCATTTCCAGCTTGCAGAATTTCTGCTGAGATATCTGCTGTTAATCTGATAGATTTTCCTCTGTAGGTTACCTGATGCTTTTGCCTCACAGCTTTTAAGATTCTTTCCTTCATCTTGACTTTAGATAACCTCATGACTACGTGCTTAGGTGATGATCTTTTTGTGATAAAATTTTCAGGGCTTCTTTGAGCTTCTTGTATTTGGATGTCTAGATCTCTAGCAAGGCCAGGGAAGTTTTCCTTAATTATTCCCTCAAATATATTTTCCAAACTTTTAGATTTCTTTCTTAGCAATATAAATTATTCTTAGGTTTGGCCATTTAACATTATCCCAAACTTCTTAGAGGCTTTGTTTATTTTTTAAAATTCTTTTTTCTTTGTCTTTGTTTAACTGGGTTACTTGAAAAGCCTTGTCCTTCAGCTCTAGTGCTCTTTCTTCTACTTGTTGATTTCTATTGCTGAGACTTTCCAGTGCATTTTGCATTTATCAAGTGTGTCATTCATTTGCAGAAGTTGTGATTGTTTTTATCTATGCTATTTCACTGGAGATTTTTCCATTTATATCCTATATCTTTTTTTTTTTTTTTATTTCTTTTTTTTGTGGAGTCTCCATGTTGCCTAGGCTTGTCT